ATTCTCAGATAAACCTTGACTAGATACATATTTTGTTCCTTAAACTAGCTAACTAAACTGTGACCATAGACATTTTAAGGTTATGTGTATATTATTTTTGTCTCATCCTTTATATATCATAACAAACCTAAACAGACCTCATCACTTGCTTAGGCTTTCTCCTTTATTCTATTTTTAATATTTCCTGGCTTTTATTCCATGCTTTCTGTAAGACTGCTACAGAAAGGGTCAAAAGAAATTAGGAGGTTGTTTTATTTTCCTCGGTTTAGCCAAAGCATGTCAGACTGTTTCTTTGTTTCTTGCTTTTTTTTAAAAAAAAAACAATTTTGATTTTCTAATTGCCCCTTTGAAAGCGGGGGTGGGAGAACTACAAGTCCAAGCTAATCTGGGACCATGCTGCGGCCCAGTGGGTAGGACTGGTCTCTTCCAGATAGCTGGCGAATCCTCTTCCCCGCCCCTCTTGCTTCTTCTTCCAGAGAAGCAAGCACCTGGACAGAGGAGGTGGGGACGGAGGAGGTGGGGTGCATGTGAAAGAACACGCTGTCCTTGAGTCCTCTAGCTGCTTGGTGGACCAGAGCGAGCCCTTGGGAGAGGCCCTGGGAACTGTGGAGGGGATGGGTGGTGCGTGTTTAGGAGCAGCGGAGCCATTTTCAAGACCTGACTATGGAGAAGTGCACAAATGCTTAGTGGAACCCAAGAAGGACCAGCATCTACGCAAGAGAAACTACTGTCAGTATGGTTCCTACCGTGTCCAGTTCCCATCGGGCCCCATCCCTCCTCAGTTTGCTTTTCACTACTAACGGCCTAGGTGAGTGTGCCTTCTTTCTTTCCTTGACAGAAACAGAATCCCACACACATACTGTTTGGTTTCTGGCTTCTCTCACTCAACATTAGGTTTGTCAGGTTTATCAAAATGGAGTCTATGCTTTGGGTCTTATGGGACTGATAATTAATGGAAGTAAAGTTACAAGAGAGTCTGAAACTGGATAAAGACTGTAGGTAGGAGTCTTGCTTCTCACAGGAAAAGAGATAATCACAGCCTGCAAGGGGGAAAGTTTTAAGAATCATAAATCCATTTCACATTGATATCCCTAAGCTAATTCTGTTAAGAGAAAGTGGTCATTTAAATCTTGTTTTTTATGCTAGAACAGGTTACTTATACAGGTCAAGTCTCTCTTATGTGGAATTCTTGGAACCAGAAGTGTCTTAGATTTCAGATTTTTTTCTCAGAGTTGGGAATATTTGCATATACATAATGAGATATCTTGGGGGAGGGGATCCTGGCTTAAACTCTATATTCATTTATATGATTTCATATGACATTTTAAAATAACTTTAGCCATGAATCAAATTTGCACAGTGTGGACTTTTCCATTTGTGGTGTTCCAAAAGTTTTGGATTTTGGAGTTATTTAGGATTTCCATTTTTGGATTAGAAAAGTTCAACCTGTAGTTCTTCAGGTAACTGGGTTTGACTAGTCGTTGTTATAACAGAGTTACCGAGCCACACTGAGGATTTGCTTCTTTCATCTCTCAGAGTGCTGAGCTGTTAGTGGTCGGTAAATATTGTCCTCTGTATCCCAGTGTCTGAAGCTTACCTTCCAAGGACCGAGATGGAGATGTACAAGAGCGAAACGAAGGCTGACTAACTCGGAAATATATGTACACGTTATCACGTTATTTCTAGCTCATTCAAATGAATGTCTGAAATCTCAGAATATTCCCCTCACTAGCTTTTTTGTTGTTATTGTTGTCTAACTTAACAGTTTTATGCAGTTGGTCTTTATACTCAGACAGGGTTAGAAATGCTAAACTGTTCACTGAGTGAAACATTCATATTCTAAATTTTTACTTATTTATTTTTTAATCTGGACCCGGTGTTACAGACAGCTGTTCGCTGCCATGTGGGTGCTGAGAATCAAACCTTGGCCCTCTGGAAGAACAGCAAGTGTTCCTAACTTCTGAGCCAGCTCTCCAGCCCCAACATTCATATTTTTTAAAGAGTGGTATTAAACAATGATGCAAAAAAAAAGTGAAAATGAAAAGGAAGCTAAATGAGCAGTGTCCTGGAATTCACTTTTTACTGTCATGGTGGTTAGTGATCCAAGGTTCATATGATGCAAACTGTATGTAAAACTAATGAAAATTCTTGGTTAATCTGATTTAACCAAACTTCATGTTTGTTATCACAGTTTCCCTTCTGTTTTACTGTTATGGAATGCAGTAATGTTTGGTTCTTCTATGCTATGGGGTACAGTTAGTTTCTATTGGAGAAACTTGTCTGAATGTGTTCATTTGTGTGTCCTCAAGAACCAAGGTGATGCAAGTTCACCTATGATATGTCTCCCCAACTTTACTGGTGTTCTTACAACCTCAATCCAACAAATTTCCCCATTTCTTCTGCAAATCATTTTACCTCAATTCTAGTCATTTCCTGGAAACCCCAAGAGGAAAAAAAGGGGGTGATATAGTGAGTAACACTTCCTCTGTAAGTAAATACCTTCCAGCTTTTAACCAAGTTATAAATAAGTGGAGACACATAAGCACAGTGTATGTTTGTAGTAAACCCTTTTTATTTTTTTCTTAATTATAAAAGCATTATACATTCACACTAGGAGCACAGATAACAAATGATTCTGTTTTCCTCTTTTTAAAGAAATAGTTTCTTGGAACGAATTGTGACTAGAAATATTACAAGAACAATACAAAGAATCCCCATTTCCCTTTGCCAGAGACTCTGATTCATGTTTATCTAATTGTTCCAATAATGTCCTTCAAAACAAAAGTATCCTACTCAAGGCCAACAACTACTTTTAGTTTGTTGTCCCTCTCCTCACTTCAGTCTGGAACAGTTCCTCAGTTCTTCCTGTAACCAGTTCCAGGTCAATTGGTTTATAGAATGCTCTCCCACCTCCTGGTGCGAGTTGGTGCACAGTTCCCTCCTAAGGGTCAGGTTATGCTTTTTGGTCATGAAGAGCACAGAAAACAATAGGGTGTTCTTCACGTCGTGTTCTCCCTGATGGCATACGTTCTGACTCATTGCATCAGGTCAGATGGCACACAGTGCCAATTCGTTCCATCATGCTTATGGGTATGTTTTAATTTGATCACTTGGGCTGTGCAAGGTGGTTTCTATAACTTTCTTCCACTATAATATTACTCCTGTTCCCTTCATAATTAGTAATTATGGTATGGGGTGATAATTTGCACCTGGCCCTATTACATCTGCATTATCTGTTAGGAAGAAGCACATTCTCTTCTTCATGTATGCATTATTTACATTAGCAAGGACGTATGGGCTCCTGTTTTGTTTAATAGCATATATTTTCTTACTCTCATTCTCTATTTTGATGCTCAAATTGTCCCACATTTAACCAGAAGAAGCCCCCTTGAGTCACCAGAATTGTAGTTTTGATATTTCCTGTCTTTCTTTGAAAAAGTCTTCCCTTTATAGCAAGATGTTTGGGGTTAAATTTATGTACACTTTCCATATAAATTTATTTTTATGTCTAGATACACTGAAAATCATGTTTTCATATCAATGGCTCCAGTATCAACCCAATCCTGTGGAGTTCATTGTCCCCCATTTTGTAACTCAAAGGATCAGAGAAGATGCATCGGGTTTTTATGATGATAAAAGTGGACTGTTGAAAAGCATGGAGCTTTGATTTTCATTCACCAGCAAAGCACAGTGTTTCTTTGAAGCATTGTAGTTTTTCAACTCCACGTAGTTCCATTTCTGCTAGGATTTTGTTTTTACCACACTTGTAGATATGGGAAACCTGAGTTCTTGCCATTATTGAGATCAATTACAAGAGGTTGGTCAGAGGAGCCCTTTGGGTTAAACCCATTCTATTTGGTACATAAAAAGCATAGCCACCATTCAAGAAAAAAGGCGTACAGATTTTGAAAACTGGAACTGGCTGGTTTCCAAATCAAATGATTGTCCTTTGGTTATTTTTCACAGAGTGTTGCTTCTCAAATGCCTATAGAAGCTGGCTAGTGTTGGTTGCAGAGAAAAAATTCCAGGAAAAAATGCGTTAAAAAGTAGTTTGGAGGCTGTTCTTTAGAGAGATGCCCTACCATTAATGGATCATAAATGGCCTTGAGCCCCTAACACTGTGGATATATTTGATTGACCTTCTGAGAGGCCAAAACACTTGCCAAATAGTAGATTACTATATCTGTTTTACAGGCAAGGAAACTGAAGTTCAAATGCATTTGGCAAGCATTTTGCTTCTGGCAGAGAGTGGTCAAAGTAGAACTTGAACCCAGGCAGCCTGGTTCCACTGGCCCCATACGCTGCCTTCACATTAGTCTTCCCAAAACAAAACTGCTTAAGGGTAACTTTTGGAGGATAATATAACCTGTAAAGGACATTGTACATTAAAATAGATAGACTTCATTATCAAAAGAATCAGAGACAATTGTCTACAAAATTCAGGAAAATATTTTCCCTCACCCCCTTCCCATTCCCTCTCCCTCCTCCTTCCTTCCTCATCCCTTCGATTTTCAGTCCTGCTTTTTTCCTCCCTCCCTCCCTCCCTCCCTTCCTTCTTTCCTTCTTGAAACCCGGGGCTTTATACATGCTACACAAGTGCTTTTCCACTGAGCCACAGCATACTCTCTTTTCTCTTATTTCTTTGAGTCTACCTTATAGTGCACAGGCTTTGAATTTGGGGGTACGGATGTAGGTGGTGTGGAGATGAGGAAAATGCTATGCTCACTAACCTGCTTTGTTCTTTACTTGACCTTATTTAGAACTATCACGACCAAGCACTAGGCTCTATTTATTTGAACAAAATTTAGTCCTTGTTAAAACTCTCCTTGAAAAGCCAGAGTGATCCACTGTGCCTAGCTCCTTATTAGACAAGGAAACTTGATGCAAGGCATCACTAAGGTCCCCTTTCCTTCCTCAAACCTCCCTTCTGTGGGTGGACAGCATGAACAAGTGCAGGAAAAAGTCTCCAGCCTTTACTCTGAGCTTGATTTGTGTTTCAGACTGCTGGGCTGATCGATCCCCACTTCATGAAGCTGCGGCCCAGGGGCGCTTGTTGGCACTTAAAACTTTAATTGCACAAGTAAGTAAACTGAAGACTTGATTTTTTGTGCTCCCGCTATAACCTGGTATCATCCTTTATTAGCTTCAACTGTAGTTTGCCTCTCTTGGGTCTCAGTACCGCCTTTCAAGTATCTGTATCTTCTTTACACCTCACCACATCTTCCTCTTGCCTCTGCTTTCCCCAGGAACTGCCTCATTTTCTGCCCAGTTCTTCTCTCTCTTTTGAGCCCTGCACTTCCTGATAGGAAGATTTCCTCTGATGGACAGCGAAGCAGAGACTGAAATTTATGTTATAGTAACTCACCGCATGTTTTTTCCAGTATGCATTAGTGACAATGGCCTTGAAGTTGCATTTGTCAGCTGTTGCTGTGGAATGAATCACCTCAAAGCATTGTGGCCCAAACCAACAAACACTTAGCATCTTGAAGTTTCTATGGGTTCAGGGAGCAGGCAGCCAAGTGACCGCCAGGTTGTTCCATGTCTCATGGAGGTGGAGGCAGGGTAATCTGTTTTTACACTCAGTCACGTGGTTATTGGCAAATCTCAATTCCTTTTCAAATGAGCTCCTCCAGAGGACTGTGTTATGAGGTAGCAGCTGGCTTTCTTCAGAGAGAGTGCCTAAGGAGAAAGCCAAGGGTTTTTGAAAAGCTTAATCTTGGGGCTGGAGAGATGGTTCAGTGGTTAAGAGTACTTGCTGCTCTTGTGAGAGGACCAGACTTCAGTTCCCAGCACCCACAGTTGGATAGTTAGCTCTATAGGTTCTAACACCCTCTTCTGAACTCCAGTGGCACCTGCATTCACATGCACAGACCCCCTTCATGTACATATAATTAAAATAATTTTTAAAAATCTTTCAAAACTAAAATCAAAGCCTAATCTCTGAAGTGACTTCTCTTTTCCCACATTCCACTCATTTGATGTGAGTAGATAAGTGCCATTCACATTGAAGAAGAAAGCATTGTAAATGTGAGGCAGTTTTAGGGACTGAGTGAGCATCAGTGGGTACCATCTGAGATGCCTACCCCAGTGAGGCACATTTCTAGACTAGTCACTAAACTACGTCAATAATCAGATAAATGTTATGTCTTAAGGAAGATTTAATAAAGTCTTACCCACTAAGAGTACTACATTTGTATTGCTGATTTTATCCCTCAAGTGTTAAATGAGCATCCTAGCAAAGGTTGAGGAAATAAATGAGCCCACATACTCCATTTGCTTTATTTATTTATTTTTTTGGACTCTACATGTATACAGAGGAAGTGAGTCACTACGCCTTTTCTTGCCCCATGTCCTCAATATCACCCAACTGTTTTCAAGTTTCCTATTCTTGGATTTAAAGACCTGCTGGAGTTGGTTCCCTCCTTCCACCTGAGGAGGCTGGGGATGGAAGTCAGGTCATCAGACTTTTGGCACATTACACCATGTGCTAAATGTGAGTAAATCATTAAACCACTGTAAGTAAATATGAGAGTAAAGCATTAACCCAAGGTTCAGGGATTTTCTTGGTCCAGTCATACTGACACGGACAGCTGGAGAGCGTCAAGTCTTATACATAATTTGTATTTTCTGCCTGTCTATTTTCTTGTATACAATTGAGGTGATTTACTCTGGATGATCCTTCAGGCCTGTCCAGCACGACGTCAGCGAGTCTGTGTGCATTGTAAATTTATTTCTAGCACAATGCTGCCATCTTGTGGACTGCACTGTTTTAAGTCTTTTTTTCTTTCCTGTTCTTCCTCCTTTCCCTTTCCTTTTCCTTTTCTTTCCTTTCCTTCGATTTCTTCCTTTTCTTTTTTCACTGGGCATCAATTTTTCATTTCTTAAAAGGAAATCATATATGGGGAAGAGAAAAGGAAAGGGAAAAGAATAGATATTTCTAACTGTATTAGATACCCAATTGGAAATATGTAGCTCAACCTTAAAACATGGCTTCTTAAACACTCTCCACTGAATATCCCTTTTGCCAGAAAATTGTTTTACACAAGTCTGTGTGTGTATACATAAATATAATATAAAATATATAGTGTATGCACAATATATACACAAATTAAACATTTACTCTTTAAAAACCTCAAAGAAACATACCTCAAAAGAATTCTTTCATGTACATGTAATTTACCATTTATTAAACATGAAATCAGATTTGCCAAGTTATGAAGTGGGTGTGCTTGTTTTGCTTTATATAGAAAATCTTTGTTGAATATTTGATAATAACAGACAGCATCAGTAATTTGATTTTATACTCACATATAAGTATATATTATGTACACATTTTGAGTTTATAATTGTAGAAATAAATATTTAATCATAAATGGCAGAAGAACATTAGGGACATTTCAGAAATTGTCAGAAACTTTGTCCTAATAGTTATCCAAAAGTAACTGAATGATTTTTTTATGAAACTCAAGCCAGTACCTCAGATAACATCTTAAAAAAACAAATATTCTAATACAATCCAAAGATATACTAATTTGATCATTACAAGCTCAGAAATAACAGTAAAAAATATCAGAGGTCTTTTCTGTAATTTAACCATTATGTTTGATAGTATAACAAAAATGTATGTATGTATGCATGTATGTATTTATGTATGTATGTATGTATGTATGTATGTATGTATGAAAAATAAAACACTGCAATTCATGGGGCTGGAGCGATGGCACAATGGTTAAGAGCACTGACTGCTCTTGCAGAGGACCTGGTTCCATTCCCAGCACCCACATGGCGGCTATGAACCATCTTTAACTCCAGTTCCAGGAGAATCCAAAGCCCTCTTCTGACCTCCACGGTGTTGCAATGGGCAGGAACAGCAGCAGGGTGCTGGAGCTCAGAGATGAAGGGAATGAAAGTGGATCTGGAACAAAACATTGACTCCTGGTTTTAAGAGTAGAAATTTCAGGAGGCTGGAGAGATGGTTCAGTGGTTAAGAGCATTGGCTGCTCTTGCGGAGGACCCTGTCAACTAGCAACCATCAATAACTCCATGTCCAGGGGATGAGACACCCTCTTCGGACCTCCGCAGGCATTGCACAACAAGAATGCACCTACTTACATGCAGGCAATGCACTCATACACATAAAACAAAAATAATTAAAAAAAATTTTTTTAAAGTAGAAAGTTCAGTAGAACTGGACCTGGTGTCTCGTGCTTATAATTCCAGTGTTTCAGAGGCTGAGGCAAGAGGATTACTGCAAGTCTGATGTAAGTCTGGGTTGCATAGTGAGTTCCAAGCCAGCCTGGGATACAGCATAAGGCTTTGTCTCAAAACACCCCCTTGGGATTCTTTTGTTCAATGAATTTCTTGGCTCTGGTTGAATTAAATTGATTGAAAAGAGAACCAAGCTGTTATATAGCCATAATTCCAGGAACCAGGAAGCTGGAGCAGGAGGATCAGATCCTGAGTTCAAGATGTAATGAATCTGTCATGTTTCTGGCATCCATCAGTGGTGGTACATCATGAAGCTTCACTGTATCCTTGGTTCTGGACACACATGTGCACTTCACACTGTGCATAGTGTCAGACCACACAACACCAACAAACACTGTCAGAAACACTGCAGGTCACTTTGAGACTATTATGTTATGAATTGCAGCGTTTTAAAAAAATATTTTATTATTTTGTATGAGTGTATTGCCTGCATATATGTGAGTGCCTGTCTGGATTCACAGCCAGAACCCTATGGCTCTCCTTTCTTCTGTCTCCTATCCTGCTGCTGTCGACCTTTTATTCTGCTACTTCCTGCATACTTCTAGCAAGTGGCTAATCTCTTAGCTCCAGAAGCTCTACGGCCTTATAGGTGCCTCATTTCCCTAGAAGACTTGTATTCCCTGTTTGGAAATTAAGACTCTTTCATTGGCCTAGTCCAGCTATCCTTCCTGCATTTCCCCCATCTCGTACTTCCCCTGAAGGGCTCCTCCTGATTGCAAAATCACCAACACTCCAGCACTGTCTCCACCACACTTCCCTATCACTTCCTGTATTTGTGTATTTGTGTCCCCTGCCCCTGAAATGGCACACTCATTCTTTGTCTTCTCAGTTTGAAAGTTTTTACACTTAAACCTTAGCTAAATACTACCTTATACGGGAAGGTGTATTTTTAAATTTTATTTATTATTTTTATTTTATGTGTTTGAGTGTGCCGCCTGCCTGAGTACAGGTAAACCTGTGTGGTGCTATGTTGGTAGAGGTCAGAAGAGTAAGAATCCCTTGGAACTGGAGTTACAGATGGTTGTTAACTGCCATGTCGGTGCTGGGAATCAAACCCGGGTCCTCTGCAAAAGCAGACAGTGTTCTTACGTGCTGAGCCAACTCTCCAATCTGGAAAAGTGTATTTTTTAGATAGGGTTTCACTATGAAGCCCTGGCTGGCCTGGAACTCACTATGCAGACCAGGCACCTCTCCAATCTGGAAAAGTGTATTTTTTTAGATAGGGTTGGTTTCACTATGAAGCCCTGGCTGGCCTGGAACTCACTATGCAGACCAGGCTCAAAGCTCTGCCTGCCTTGGCCTCCTGAGTGCTGGAATTAAAGGTACGTACCTAATGAACTTATTTTCCCCTATTCCATAAACCAGACTTTTAAGACACTCCATATTCCCAAGTGAAATTTCAACATGCTTCCTTTCTGCCTTCCTGGAAGGGTCTTGGAGGAGGGAGACCCATGTCATGAAGTCTGAAGACTCAGGTCCTAGCACATGACCTGACCAAGAATACTGAGTAAACATTTGTTGAGAAAATGACTCTGAGGTCCTCATGCTATGCTGAGATTCTCCTAGTCATGGCCTCTGCTTCTCTCTCTCTGGTATTCATATTACATGCCCAGATGTGTAAATCAGAAACCTGCTGAACAACATTGTTGGCCCTGCTATGGTTGATGCAACATTTAACTCTCTTTTCTCCAAATTGTAGGGTGTCAATGTGAATCTTGTGACAATTAACCGGGTCTCCTCTCTCCATGAGGCGTGCCTTGGCGGTCACGTGGCCTGTGCTAAAGCCTTGCTGGAAAATGGTGCGAATGTGAGTATTGCTCCTGCCTGTGTGGGTTTGCCTGCCCAGGTGTATTGGCTAACACCTAAAGAGACATTACCTTCCAGGGTGCTTACTCACTGTGCAACGGAAAAGTCTAGTTCCATTTATGTGTCTATTCCTTTGTGTGCATTAGTCCTCTCTGTTCTGCTTATGCCCTTATTTGTGAGCATTTAGATGTGGTCATTCACATCTTTTAAAACTGTGATGCACACTTAAAAATTATTTTTCGATAAAACTTAAAAACAAATTTTAACATGACAATGAAAAACACTTTAATTCAATTCCCCAAATCATTTTAATTGTATAAAACCATCAAAACAAATGAGGTTTCAACAAATAATGCATTACAAACAGTTTCTTTTCTGTTGCTGTGATAACATAGTCTGACAAAAGCAACTTAAGACAGAAAGGTTTTACTTTGCTACAAGTTCCAAGTTATAGTCCATCAGGGAAGTTACAGTTGCAGGAGCTTGAAGCAGGTGGTCATGATATGTTCAAAATTTGATGAGAGCAATAAATGTATGCATGCTAGTGCTCAGCTCACTTTCTCCACTTTTATACAGCCCAGGGTAACCTGCTTAGGGAATGGGGCCACCTATAGTGAGCAGATCTTCCCACCTCAATTAAGGAAATCAAGATAATCCCTGGGCCGGAGAAATGGCTCAGCAATTAAGAGCATGTAGTGCTCTCACAGAGGACTTAAGTTTGGTTCCCAGCATCCACATCAGGTGGCTTACAACTGACTGCAACTCCAGGTCTGGGGATCTGGTACCCTCTCCTGACCTCCTTGGGCACCCGTACTCACACATGCACAATCCCCACCCTTATAATCAAAAATCAACTAAATCTTTTTAAAAAGGTATTTTCCACATGCATGCCCAGATGTACATCTCCCAGATGATTCTAACTTGTGTCAAGTTGGAAATTAGTCCTAACTGTTACACAACCATAACTTAAACTTTATCTTACTTTTAGCACAGGCCATAATTTTTTTCAGAGAATAGTGAGACTGCTTATAATTATCACAACTTCTGAAAATCTCAGTGACACTGTATTTAGTTCCCAGGTAATGTTTTGTTACCAATTTCATTGTTTAAGTTAGTACTTGCACTCTTTTATGAACTGCAAGATCTTTAAATGCTTGATGATGATTATATTTTCACATTTCAGTTGGGTTTCTACATGGAGAATTTAGTATGAAAGTCTTTGGGACACAGACTTTTCCAGTGCCCTCCTGGTTATTGCAACGTTTCTGTTAGGTGCCTCTCTAAGTTACCACTTAGCTAGCTCATGCATAATGATGCAGGCCAGGTGGCGTGAAAGCCATTTCCCTTAAAACTATATGTCTGGAGTCACAAGCTGATTGCTAGTGGGAAATAGTAAACATTTCTCTCCTCCTCGCAGCAGAATGTTTGTGGGTAATAAAGAGAAGAATATGGAAATGGGCCCTCGTTTTGGATGGTTTTTACAAGGAAGCACCAGTTAAGTGCTACATTAACATTAGTAGTTATATCAGAACGAAGAAAGGGAAAGGAAGAAGTGGGTCACTGGACAGTCCCCACAACTGGCAGACCCATCAAACTCAGTACGTCTCAAATATGTGTATCATGTTCTTCCCTCTGGACTTGCTTCTCATCTTTGCTTCAAGTTTCAGAGATGGGATAAAACACGTTTGTGGTCTTACAAGCCTGGGGATCATCTTTCCCCTGCCAGCGCCCCATCTAATTAATTCTAATTTTGCTTCCTGTTCTTCAGATTTATGTTCTTCTTTCTCCTTCTGCCATAGTGATTTCAAGCATTTATTACTGCACCCAAAATATCTTTTTTTGTGTGTTTTTCTTCCATGATAAAATACAACTTAATCAAGAAGACGTTGGGGCTGGAGAGATGGCTCAGTGGTTAAGAGCACCAGCTGCTCTTGCAGAGGACCCGGGTTCAGATCCCAGTACCCACATGGCAGCTAACAACTGTCCATAACTCTAGTTCCAGGGGATCCAATGCCCTCTTCTGACCTCTGCGGCATTGCACGATACATTTGCACTTACATACATGCCGGCAAGGCACTCATATACATAAAGTAAAAATAAAATAACAAAGAAGAGCGAATTGGCTTGTCTTTGCTTTTAAAACATCAGCACCTAGTAGGTGCTCAGCAAATGTTTGCTGACATGAACTGCAATAGAAAATTATAGGAAATGAAATAAGGACTTCCAGATGAAGGGCGAGGATGGTACTTAGAAAAAACTCAAACAAGTTCCATCAATGTTTTTTTTTTAGCAAAAATAAGGATAAGTCAGAAATCTCTAGCATATGAATTTATACACATTTTTTCATGATTTTGTGTCTGTCATCTTAGCATTTCAATTTTATCATGTAATGGAGTTATTGTACTGGAGGTCTGGGGACAATATGGTTTTGTTTCCAAAGCAAGGTAATTTAGAATCCTGATTATTGCAGTAATATCAAAACCCTATTGTGATGCGATGTTTCAGTGGTATCATAGCCTCCCTACCACAATGGATAGAGACCTTGGCTCTTTCTAGTCTATTCTTGATATTTGTGATCTTTTCAATGTGACTGGATTGAGACATGCTGAGGAGATTAGTAAAGGACACCTCTTGGTATATCTGTGAGGGTGGTTTTAGAAAGGACTAGCTATGAAAGGAAGACTTATCCATTGACTTAGAGCCTGGATGGAGTAAACTGGGAAAATGCAGAAAGCTATCCAGCTCTGGCATTCTCTCTCTGTTTCCTGGCTGCCATGACGTGAGCTTCTCTGGTCTGACAAACCTTCCCTGACACGATGGAGGGGAACCCTCTGAAGCTGTGAAACAAAATAAATGCTTCCTCCTTCAAAATTGTTTTGTTTTTAATATTTTATTCATTATTTTTATTTTATGTGTGTGAGTGTAATGTCAGCACGTAGGTAAGTGCACCCTTGTTATGCAATGCCGGTGGAGGTCAGAAGAAAGTGTTGGATCCCCTGGAACTGGAGTTACAGACAGTTGTTACTCACCATGTGGGTGCTGTGAATCAAACCTGGGTCTTCTGCAAGAACAATCAGTGCTCTTAACTGCTGAGCCACCTCTCCAGTCCCTAAAATTGCTTCTTTCAGGTATTTGTCACAGTTTCAGAAAAACCTGGATAATACAATCATCAATGATACCTTCCAGCCTTTCTGATTCTCATGTGACTCCCACATTCTTAGAAGGTATAAAGGATGGCTAGATCTGCTGGGTTGATGGCTATTTTTGATCACTATTTAGGAGTCCCAACTGTTACATACAATTTGTGTGATTATAGAAAATCAGGAAGAAAATTTGTGGCAAGAAAGACTCGAGAACTGTGGGAGATCTGCCAAAGAAATTTTTGCAAACACAGAATTGTGGAGCTTAAGCTACCTGTTCTTTCTAGTGCCTTTGGTTCCTTGCTGTGCTTGATCACAACTTGGACTGCCTGAGCTCCACATTAGTGGAAAATGGAGAGAATTTCAGCAAGTGTTCAGTCTGTGATTACCAGGCACCAAGCAATAGTCTTAAGTGTTTAACATAGAATAACTCACTTGAGCTATCAATGACCTCATGACATTTTATAATTCAGTACAGTGTAGAGCTCCCCTAGTCATTCTGCAGCTTGGGGAATTTCCCCAGGCACACACATAGGGACACACATTTGATTCAAATGATCCAATAAATTCTCTGAGTTTTGTTTTCTCCATCATTAGGTCAATGGAGTGACGGTTAATGGGGCCACACCCCTCTTCAATGCTTGCTGTAGTGGTAGTGCTGCATGTGTCAATGTGCTATTGGAGTTTGGAGCCAAGGTCCAGCTTGAGGTATACCTGGCTTCACCTATCCATGAAGCAGTGAAAAGAGGTAAGTGAACTGCTCCAGTGCACATAAAACATTGGTGGTCTTATGGGTCTTATTGCAATCCACATGAGTCAATGGTCTAGTGCTGGCCCAGAGTTTTCCACCTATAGGCATGTGCCAAGACATTTGGCAAACATCCTCATTATTAAAACTTCTTGAGGCTATTTAAATATAATTTGAACTAGGCTCAGTCTCTGATTCTGCTAAAAAAAGAAAAAGACAAAAATTATTCAAAACTATTTAGCAGATACCTTGTATCTGTCAGGTACATTTGATCTTCATGAATACTTCCATATCTGTCTAATTCTAAACCTCTATAAGCAAGTTGGCTCATAATCTGAATCAATATCTTGACATACTGGTATTATCGTCTAGGTATGATACTTAGGTGAATACACAGTTTGAATCCACAAAATCCTGTGCATATTGTAATACATGTTTACCCTTAATTTGTGAGACACAGGGCAGGTTTATATAGGATGAAGTTTACTTTTATGTTATCTCTAAAGCAAAAGTTGGTTAAACTAATTAGTGGCGATAAGACTTTTGAGGAAACATTTAAATTGTTTCCAAGCTTCCATCCATACCCTAGAAGCATTCCCTCAGACACAATTACTTGGTATATAACAAATTATTTTTGTCTCTTCATTGGTTAAACTGTCTACAGAGAATGCTTGCTCACCAGTGAATTCATAAGCTTCTTTAGATATATGATATACTTGAAACTTTTGGTTCACTGTCACGGATATCTTCCAGTCCAACCAAAATAAGCTTGTTAGTTCTCTTTTCCACCTATGGGTGAAGAAGAGAATGGGAGCTTAGAAATGGAGAGGTGAACCCTGGTGGATGAACTTGCACTGAGAGACATCTTGGGATACTAACTTTACATAAGAAGCCTTAATACAAGTGACGGAATGTATGAACTCCAGTGGGGGGGCATGGGAGAGTGCCAAAGGGGAAAGGGGTATAAAGTTGACTTTATATATGAAATACACAAAATTTCAATTAATAAAATTTTAAAAAAAGAAACGGACAGGAAATAGCAGTGAGAATTGGATTTGACCACTGGCTTTTCCAAGGAAGAGTAGGGGTCATTTACCCTTCTGGCTCTTGCAGCCTCCATTTGTAAAATGATGGCTTCATTCTAAAGGGTGAATTCAACTGTGTTCCTCAGAATCTGAGTTTAATTGGAGTTACTTCAGGGACTAAAAAAAAAAAAATCAAAGAATGTCCCTGGAGGACACATTTTCATGCTTCTT